TTTGATGACTTCGTTGAAATAACCAAGAAGTACGCCAAGGGTATCATCCCATCAAGTATGATCCCTCAGGATGACGACGATGAGGATGATGAGCTGACAGGAAAGAGCCCCGAGGAACTCCCCTTCCAACAAAAGGTGAACGGCTGGAGGACTTCGATGCCATACTTTCCTCCCACCCATTTGCTCAGGGTGGGCGGAGGATACACAGAGGACCCTGAAAAGGTTCCCAGAGGGCAGTCCACAAAGGAGGGAGAGCATGGCAAGCATGGACCAGGTGGGCCAAAGAACCCCTCCATTGGAGAGTCTCCAGAAGGCCCAGTTTCAGGTCTTAGGTAGTGGGGCCACTGGGACCACCCAGACTCAGGTGCGGAGCCAAAGGTGGGTCTTATCGAGACTCTCCAACTGTAGTGAAAAAGGGAAGATCTTGCTTTGTTAAGATTCAGCCCATTGATCACAGAGTTGTGTGGTCTTCAGCTCCTGGGCAGCACCCTCCCGAGATCTGTGTACCACTTCTTCAGACGCACTTCCCAACCTTGGTTGGGCAACAGATTAGAGTGGGTGGGCCTTGGCTGCAGCCCCTTTGCAGGTTTACCTACCTGGGCTTTTTCTGATCTCTTGTGGCTTGCCACTGGAGCAGGGGTCTCCAACCTTGGCAACTTGAAGACTTGTGGACTTCAACTCCCAGAATTCCTCGGCCAGCTTTGCTTTAAGACTTGTGGATTTCAACTCCCAGAATTCCTCAGCCAGCAAAGCTTTAAGACTTGTGGACTTCAACTCCCAGAATTCCTCAGACAGCAAAGCTTTAAGACTGGTTTAAAAGCTGGCTGAGGAATTCTGGGAGTTGAAGTCCACAAGTCTTCAAGTGGCCAAGGTTGGAGAACCCTGCACTGGTGTAAAGGTGCAGTTGGGCCTCTCTGTCCCTTGGGAAGATAACTTTGCAGTCACTCTCAACACGTTTATTTGTCTGAAGGGACAAAACAGGGCCTTGACAAACTTAAGTTTGTTTCCTGTCCTAGTCAGCCCACCAGTCTTCTCCAAAAGGGACTTTTGGGGTTCATTTGGTCCCCTCTTCTGTTTGGGATGACCTGAGCATGGCCTTCTCTTTCCAGATCATCAAGTATCCCCTCCATGCCATCATGGAAGTCAAAGAGCACCTGATCGAGGTGGCCTCCAAAGCTGGCATGCACTGGTTGTCCACCATCGTCCCGACCCACCAGATCAACGCCCTGCTCTTCTTCTTCGTCCTCAGCAACCTGACCATTGACTTCTTCGCCTTCTTCATTCCCCTCGTGATTTTCTACCTCTCTTTCATTTCCATGGTGATTTGCACCCTGAAGGTCTTCCAGGACAGCAAAGCGTGGGAGAACTTCCGCACCCTCACGGACCTCCTGCTTCGTTTCGAGCCCGATCTGGATGTTGACGAAGCGGAAGGGAATTTTGGCTGGAATCACCTGGAGCCCTATTTCCACTTCCTGCTCTCGGTCCTCTTCGTCCTTTTCTCCTTCCCGATTGCCAGCAAGGAATGGATGCCCTGCTCCGAGCTGGCCACCGTTTCCGTTTTCTTCATGGTGACAAGTTACATGAGCTTGTGCACCAGCGCGGAGCCTTACACGCGAAGGGCCCTGCTGACCGAGGTGACTGCGGGGGCCCTCTGCCTGCTGCAAGGGGCCCCCGACCACTGGGGTCACGTGAAGCTCCTGGGTAAAACATTTTACACCCTTCCTCTCGGTAGCGTCCTGGTGCTGAACCTCAGCCTCCCTTGTCTCCTGTTCCTGTACTTGTTTTACCTTTTCTATCGCATGGCACGACTGAAGAAATGGAAGGGCGTCTATTGCTACTTGGTTCCTTACTTGGTCTGCTTCATGTGGTGTGAACTCTCGGTCGTGATTCTCCAGGAATCAACCGGCCTTGGTCTCCTTCGGGCTTCCGTGGGCTACTTTTTATTCCTGTTCGCCCTTCCGATCTTAATGTTGGGCATCGCCCTGATGGGCTTTTTCCACTTCCTAAGATGGCTGGTAACGTTGGAGCTGACCAAGATCGTGGTCACGCTCGTCCTCTGTGCGGTCCCTCTGGTCTTCCACTTGTGCACGCGGGCCAGACTCTCCGCAGTCGAAATGGTGAAGTCCTTAACCAAGAGTTCCATTGTGAAGCTTATTCTGGTCTGGCTTTCTGCCATTGTGCTCTTCTGCTGGTTTTACGTCTACCGCTCGGAAGGGATGAAGGTGTACAATTCGACGTTGACGTGGAATCAGTACGGGTTTCTCTGCGGGCCCCGGGCTTGGAAAGAAACCAACATGGCGCGAACTCAAATTATATGCAGTCATCTGGAAGGCCATCGGGTCACCTGGACGGGGCGATTCAAGTACGTCCGAGTGACCAGCATTGAGAACAGCGCCGAGTCCGCCATAAATATGCTTCCATTTTTCCTTGGGGACTGGCTGAGATGTTTGTACGGAGAAACGTACCCCGCGTGCGACCCCAAAAACACCACCCTGGAAGAGGAGGAACTCTGTCGCTTGAAGTACTTGACCAAGCACAACTGTCACATCAAGAGGTTCGACCGGTATAAATTCGAAATAACAGTGGGCATGCCCCTCAGTGGCGGGAACGGCAACCGGGCCCCCGAGGAAGACGATGTCACCAAGGACATTGTGCTGAAGGCCAGCAATGAGTTCAAGCAGGTTCTGCTGAACCTGAGGCAAGGCAGCCTGGTCGAGTTCAGCACCATCCTGGAAGGCCGCCTGGGGAGCAAGTGGCCGGTCTTTGAGTTGAAGGCCCTTTCCTGCTTGAACTGCCTGTCGAAACTCTCCCCGGCAGGCCGGCACGTGAAAGTAGAACACGACTGGCGAAACACCGTCCATGAAGCGTTCAGATTTGCCTTCAATTTTCTGTTCTCCCCTTTCCTGTCCGTTGCCTATTGAGCTCCGCTTGCTACCCTGTTTCCCCCAAAAATAAGACCTCCCCTGATAATAAGCCCAATCGGGCTTTTGAGCCACATGGCAATAAGGCAAACAAGCGCTTATTTCAGGCTTCAAAAAAAAATATAAGACGGTCTTATTTTTGGGGAAACACGGTAACACCTGCTCTTGGTTGGTCGCAGTCAGATATAACGGCATGTAGCGCGGTACGTCATGCGGTCCTAATACTTTTTCTGCCTTGCACGATGATCTCTACATCTAAAAGGACGCCTAGCCGCGTATTGATGGAAAGCATAAGAAGCAGGATTTTCTAAAGGACTAACGCCATGATGGCGAACCTATGGCAGGCGTGCCAGAAGTGGGACGCAAAGCCCACTCTGGCGGCTAGCTAGTTTTTGGGTTTCTGGCGCTCCAGCACATGCACGCACGTTCTGGTTTAGGCACTCGGTGCCAAAAAGGTTCGCCAGCGCTGGATTAATCTATCTAACCAAAGATGCTAAAAACACAACTTTGCCTTCTATTTATTCTCAATAACCGACTGTATTCCACAGGTGACAGCTGTAACATTGACAAAAATGTCAAAATGAGGGTGCGTGATGAAGCCCGGGCACAAATGCTCCAATTTAAGACTTGTGCCAGGCGCCAAGAGAACAGGGTTTTGGTGTGGAGATGACCTTCCATTCTCCCTTTGCTCCTAAGCCCCATGGACTGCAGAGGAACCGTATTCCGGAGGAAATAAATTCTCTGCCAATAATTAAATCCTGCGAACAGAATTGAAGTAATTCAGCGGTACGAGTGGGTGATTATTTTTTTTTTCCAGAGGAAAGGGCCTTCGTTCAGTCCCCATTTTTCTTTTCCTCCAGAAAGAAGGCGGAGAGGAAATGGTTTAAGCGAATAAACATGATTGCTTAGCTCTGGAAATGGTAATGAACCATCCGGAGATAAATCTGTCCTTCTGATCACAAGCATAAAATAATGATTTAAAAATATGACAAACACTTTGCCGTCTTTTGTTGTTGTTGTTGTTTCTTTATATGCACTTAGTATGTTAACATACCAGATTCCATATCATGCATGGAATAGCCAGTGAATATTTTGTAGCACGCCTCACCTTACTTTGGGGTCAAGTAAATTGTCCTCAGTTCTGGGTTAATGGATCCTCCTCCCCGTCTCCTGCTGAATCTTTTATCAGCCTGGTTTAAATCTTTATTCCTAATTATTAGGGTTTCTGCAAGATTGGGAGGACAGCGAATAGAAGAAATTTGCAAAAGCCCACTGACATCCCAAGCCGCAATCTCTGCTCTTTGAAATTGAGTATAGTAACAGAGTTGGAAAGGACCTTGGAGGTCATCTAATCCAACCCCCTGCTATTAGTAGCTTGGGTTGGTATTTAGGCTGTCGGTTTGAGCCCCGAGCCCGGCGATTTGGCTGCCAACGTTTTGTCGCCATTCGAGGAGACCTCGTCGGTGAGCTTTGAATTGTGCTCGTCTGTACAGACGAACACAATTCAAAATGCACTGACGACATCTCCTCGAATGGTGATGAAACGTTGGCAGCCAAATCGCCAAGCTCGGAGCTCAAACCGACAGCCTAAATGCCACTTATATTTTAAAGAGTTTAGTTTCCCTGTTTTTAAGATTTTTCTCAAGGCTGGTTGGGGCAGCAGGATGAAGCTGGGTGGCGTATATTTACTCCAGCATCACATTGGGGTTATGCAGTGGTGGAATGCTGCCAGTTTAACAACTGGTTCGGTGAGCGTGTGCTTAAGGCACTTGCGTGCAGCACTCAAAATGGAGCATTTAGAAGCTCAGCTGCTTACCTGCTTATCTTCCAAGTCAGCAACGGTTAAGTAGAACAGCAAGGGGGGGGGAAATCAGCTGTGCCACGCGATTGAGATGAGCTACAAAGCAGGAAATAAAGGACAGGATAGAACAGGGGCGTGAGGGTGGGACCAACTGGCCGTTGGCACTACCGGTTGGTCCGAACCGGCTGAATTCCACCTCTGGGGTTATGACATCTGATCACAAGGATCATGTCGAACATAAAACCGGAATAAAATGATGAGTAACGAAACACGCCAGCCACCTGGTCATAAGGAGAATTTATTTTTGAGATGACTGTATGGCGGTTGCAATGAATTAAAATATAGAGTGGTCGCCAAAGGACGGTGGTGGGTCATGGAATAATTAATCCACATACATCTTATTGCTGCAGACATTTATTGGGGAGTAAGCTCCGTTCGATTTGCAGGGTGTTTACTTCCCAATAAAGGTTTTTCTTTCATCAAGCAAGTAGCGGTATCAGTCCAAAGACATGTCTCTCTCTCTCTCTCTCTCTCCAGTGGGACCTAATGCACTTCCGTGTTCATTTTGTCTTGAAAGATATACAGATTGTTTGTGGCCGCAATAGCAATGATGTTTTCCGTGGGGTGCCAGGCGGTGTGCAAAATTTTTTGGGTGAAGTCCAGGCTGTCGGCGCTGATATCGTCTTTCCGCCTCTTGCCCCCGGCGCACACACGGCGAGGCTTCAGGATCGCCCGTGGCTTGCTGTTCTCGCGGGAGGCCTCCAAAGTCACGTCGCGCTTCGTGTTTCGGTCGAACATTCGGAAAAAGTTGTTGTAGGCCCCGGTCATGATGACGCTGCGGTAGAAGAGCAGGGAGGTTAGTTAGCTGGCCAGGAAGGAGGGGAAATTCCCTGCGCTGCAGCCTTCACCCCGTATCGGAAAGCTGCCAGCGTGATTTATGCATAACGCTTCGATGGGTGAAGTCTGCAGGCAGAAAATGCTGACACCGTAAGGCAGAGGTGTCAAGGCCTGCTTAAATCTGGCCCGGAAGACCAGCCTGTAAATATCAAAGGATCGGCCTGTGGTGCCTCTGCAAACCAAAATGGGGCTGCGCGGCCCATTTTCGGCCTCCCCGGCCTCCAGCACACTCTGCTGGCCAAAAACAGGCTGCACAGAGGTCCCAGGAGGCCCCCACATGGCCCGTTTTCAGCCTCGTCGGCTTCCAGCAGCACTCTGCCTGTCATGGCCACGCCCACCCCTGGGCAATTCGTCCCTCCCCAGCCCTCCAAGGTCAAGCACCACCCTGATGTAGCGCTCAATGAAATTGAGTTTGACACCTCCTGTTGTAAGGCCATCATGAAGAAGAGCTAGGACCGCCATCTAAAGAAGTTCTCCTGCACACGGCCTTCCTGGGAAGCCACTGTGGGAGGGGAGGAGGAAGACCCCTCCCCAGCATGAGCACGGAAGCTGCACTCAGCTGGGCAGGTTGTGCAGCGCCCCCCCCCGGACCCTGTATTGCAGGCTGACTCTGCCAACTGCCAGAAGTTCAATCTTAACCAGTTCAAGGTTGACTCAGCCTTCCATCCTTCTGAAGTTGGTAAAAAAAAGGACCCAGATTGTTGGGGCAATAGGCTGACTCTGTAAACCGCTTAGAGAGGGCTGCAAAGCACCGTGAAGCGGTATACAAGTCCCTTTGCCTTCCTTCCTTCCTTCCTTCCTTCCTTCCTTCCTTCCTTCCTTCCTTCCTTCCTTCCTTCCTTCCTTCTTTTTTTCTTTCTTTCTTTCTTTCGTTTCCTTCCTTCCTTCTTTCCCTCCCTCCCTCCCAGTGGTTAGAATGCAGTATTGCAGGCTAATCCTGCCCACAGCCTGGAGTTCAATCCTGACAGGCTCAAGGTTGACTCAGCCTTCCATCCTTCCTTCCGAGGTCGGTAAAAAGAGGACCCAGATTGTTGGGGGAAAGAGGCTGACTCTGTAAACCGCTTAGAGAGGGCTGTAAAACACTATGAAACATTAAATAAGTCTAAGTGCTATAGCTATTACCTGTCGGACCCATTCCATGCACATTCAAATTTGTCAAAAATGCAGTCGTTTTCATAGAGTGAACACAACTTGCTTCTAAGGTAATCATGAACCTGTTTGGTACAGAAAAGAAGCATGTCATTATTCAAGATCAGACTATTCGTCAGTAGCCATTGCAGCCTTACATCATCTTCTTTTAATGACCCCATAATCCCTTGCAGGATGGAGTCTGGGCAACTGAATGGAGCTGAGTGTTTACTGTCCGGATGCCCTTCCTGTTGCCAGTACGGAGTTTTGTTCGGCAGATATATTCTCATCGTGCCCAGAGAGAGAAATATCTGCCTCTACCTAGGATCGAACTCACAGCCTCCTGATTGTGAGGCAAGAGCTCCACCTGCTGCATCATGGAGATGCTGCACAGGTTGTAACTTTGCAAAACGGTCATAAGTCGCTTTTTCCCATGCCGTTATAACTTTGAATGGTCACTAAACGAACTGTTGTAAGTGAAGGACTCCCTGTATGTAATTTTTAAAAATGTCTAGATAAGAAATAGAGAGAGGGAGGGAGGTAGAGAGAGAGAGAGAGCAAGAAAAGGAGGGAGAGAAGGAGGGAAAAAGAAGGAGGGAGAGAAAGAGGGAAGGAGAGGGAAGGAAGGCAGGGAGAGGGAAAGGGAAGGAGTGAAAGGGAGGGAGAGAGGAAGGGAGAGGTAGATCGGCAGGAAGGGAGGGGGAGAGAGGAAGGGAGGGGAAGAGAAAGGAAGGGAGGGGGGAGGGAGAGAAGGAGAGGGAGGGAGAGAATGGGAAGGAAGGAAAGGGAGGGAGGGGGAAAGGGAAGAAGGGAGGGAGAGAAAGTGAAGGAGAGGAAGGAAGAGAGAAAGGAGGGAGGGAGAGAGGAAGGGAGGGGTAGATAGGCAGGAAGGGAGGGGGAGGGAGAGGAAGGGAGGGGGAGAGAAAGGAAGGGAGGGGGGAGGGAGAGGGGGGAAGGAGGGAGAGAAGGAGAGAGGGAGAGAATGGGAAGGAAGGAAGGAGGGAGGGAGGGGGAAAGTGAGGGAAGAAGGGAGGGAGAGAAAGAGTGAAGGAGAGGAAGGAAGAGAGAGGTGGAGTCCGGCCAAGGGTTGATGAGTCGGACGGTCTCCTGGGTAGGTGGGCTTTGGTGAAAAAAATAGCAGCCCCCCTCCCAACCCCTCTGGGAGAGAACATTTCTTATGTGGCCAGATCTGTGGCCCAATGGCGCAGCAACACACATCGCTTTCATGGTATGTGTACATAGAAAGACACGGGGGGGGGGGGAAATACCTGATATATTTCTATAGGCTTTGTTTCCATATTCAGATCCCAAACTTTGACAGTGAGGTAATCCCTCGCTAGCAGGTAGCGCCCACTGTGGCTGAATTTCACATCGGACACCGAAGAAATAATTTCGGAGAAAAAGGAACGGCTGTTGGGATCTTCTGGTTCTTCATAAACTGGGGAAGGAATGAAAGGAAGGGAGGAGGGAGGGAGGAAGGAAGGAAAGGAAGGAAGGAGAGAAGAGAAAGGGAGGGAGGGAAGGAAGGAATGAAAGGAAGGAGGGAGGGAGGGAGGAAGGAAGGAAGGAAGGAGAGAAGAGAAAGAGAAGGAAGGAAGGAATGAAAGGAAGGGAGGAGGGGAGGGAGGAAGGAAGGAGAAGAGAAAGGGAGGGAAGGAAAGGAAGGAGGGAGGGAGGAACGAAGGAGAGAAGAGGGAGGGAAGGAAGGAAGGAGGGAGGGAGGAACGAAGGAGAGGAAGAGGGAGGGAAGGAAGGAGGGAGGAAGGAAGGAGAGAAGAGAAAGGAAGGGAAGGGAGAAGGAAGGAATTGAAGGAAGGGAGGAGGAAGAGAAGGAAGAGAAGAGAAAGGGCAGGAAGGAAGGAAGGAATGAAAGGAAGGGAGGAGGGAGGGAGGAAGGAAGGAGAGAAGAGAAAGGGAAGGAAGGAAGGAATAAAAGGAAGGAGGGAGGGAGGAGAGGAGAAAGGAGGGAAGGAAAGGGGGGAGGAGGAGAGGAGGGATGGAGGATGGGGAGAAGAGGAGGGAAGAAGAAGAGAGTAGGGAGGAAGGAAGGAAATTTAGAAGTATGTCACATTTCTACACAGCTGCTTTTCCTGTGACATTTAACATTTCTCATTTTGTGACGTCTTTTGCATATTTCCACTTGCAATGCGCGTAAAAGGAAGCCTCTCTTCCAATTCATCCTTTCCTTGTGGGGTGGAGTCCGTCTCTCGTCAAAAGTCCAGTTATCATAACGGACAAACCAATTCCCATCATTCTACAGCAGGGGGGGGGGCAAACTCGTGTCGTCGTGTCGTCGTCACGTGATGCATCGTGACGGGGGACGGCGTGGCCAGCACATGACGCATCCGGCCCCCAGGCCGTGAGTTTGACGCCCCTGTTCTACAGAATATGTCTGTCTCTTGGCCACAAGAGAGGAGGTAAACCTGGATCTCTGCTCAACAGCTGGCTGTTGCAAGCCTCCTGTCTAAACAAAGCTAAACCTGGTGAGCCGGGGTGAGCTCCTGGGGGTTCGGCAGAGTCTCGGGTGATCCTCTAGCCAAGGATCGTCAGGATTCGGCAAACCCCCAAATGCCACCTGTGGCTGACCCTGCCTACCCCACCCCACCCCTCCAAGGAGTCTTCATGCGGCCCGTTCATCATTCCAGGTAAGTGCAGGGGTCTGGGAGGGTGAAAAATGGGCCCTCCGGAAGTCCAGAAACGGGCCTGTTTCCAGCCTCCGGAAGAAGCAGTTTTTGCCCTCCCGGAGGCTTGAGGAAAGCCTCCGGAGCCTGGGGAGGGCAAAAAACACCACCATGACCCCCTAGTGGTGCAGGTGGCCAACCCACCATGGCCATGCCCGCCCAGCAATGGGGCAGCAAACCCATTGCTAAAAGATCTGGAACCCAACCCTGCTGGTAAGACATTTGCAATTATTGCAAATCTGGCTGTCCCCCCGTCTTGCGGCTGAGATGAGAGAGACTCGGCTACCCTTGTCCTTCTCAAGCCACAGGAAGAAAAAAATTAACCCGAGAAGACACCCTTTGGATATCCTCCCACAACAAAATGTCTCGCCGTCCCCTGCCGCCCCACCGAAAGCTCGGGGAGAAGGCGGCTCCGTAACCTACTCTTGAAATGCTTGTCGCAGAGCGCCGAGGCCCTCATGTCGCACAGTCGGAGGGACCCTTTGCTGCTGCTGTAGACAAAGAGGTTGCAGTGGTGGGGATGGAACTCCGAGGCCGTGATGACTTCGGTCAAGTCCTCCATGTTGTCGGGTTTGATGTCCACAATGTCTGCGTTGGGAAGGCCAGTTAAGGAAAATCGTCACCAGACCAGGGTTTGGGTTGTACTTACCTTTACTACCGGTTCGCAACGGGGCCGCGCACATGCGCAAAAGCTCTCTGATTACACCGGGGTCGGTGGGCAGAGCCTCCCGACGGTTTTACTACTGGTTCTTGCGAACCGGTCTGAACCAAGGGCAACCCACCACTGCGCCACGACACCAGCAACCAAGACTTTCTCATGACCAGTCTCAAACCGAAGCTTCATTGCTTGGTGCCTGTATTACGAGAATCTTGCCAGACTGATTGCAACCTCTTGAGAACGGTCGGATAAGGCTTCGGGGATTCTGGATGCCACTCCCTGCAACGCAAGGACTCCAAACTCAGCCCGCTTTTTCACGCCTTCTCTCCAGCCTAGCCGGCTATTCCACCGCAATCATAGAGCTTTGTTGCCTAGAACAGAATTGTGGAAATATGGTCCCTTTATGATTTGTGGACTTCAACTCCCAGAATTCCCGAGCCGGCTATCTTAATATATAAGACTCAGGTTCTAAGGTAGAGGTGGGGAACTATGATCTCTTTTGTAACTTCAACTCCCAGGATTCATGAGCCAGCCATGATCAGTAATGCTGGCTCGGGAATTCTGGGAGTTGAAGTCCACAAGTCATAAAAGAGTGATAGTTCCCCACCTCATTGATTCAGGAATTCTGGGAGTTGAAGTCCACAAGTCATAAAGGGGCCATATGTAGTTCTCCACCCTTGCTGACTCAGGAATTCTGGGATTTGTTCCCCACTCCTGATGGCTCAGGAATTCTGGGAGTTGAAGTCCACAAGTCATAAAGGGGCCATACTTAGTTCTCCACCCTTGCTAACTCAGGAATTCTGGGAGTTGTTCCCCACCCCGATGGCTCAGGAGTAGCCGGTTCAACTCCCAGAATTCCCGAGCCGGTTATTTTAATATGGCCATACATAGTTCTACATATGGGCCATACTTAGTTCTCCACCCCTGCTGACTCAGGAATTCTGGGACTAGTTCCCCACTCCTGATGGCTCAGGAATTCTGGGAGTTGAAGTCCACAAGTCATAAAAGGACCCTCGTTTCCCACTCCTGGTCTACAACTGTTCATTTTTCTAGCAATGTTTTCATATGTGGGTCACGGAGGGGAGAAGTATGGCATTTCCTTATCTCTCTTTTGGTGTGTCTGAGAGAAAATAGAGTAGGTCGTCCGTATGGAAGGAGGAATCAAGTGTTCCAGAGAAAGGGATACCCTCCATGAGAGAGACAAAGGGGTCTGAAAGAAGAGCAGAAAAGGCAGTTGAACACGGAAAGGCCAAGGGAAGATTTTTTTTGGAATTTTGAAGTGTGTGAGAAAAAAGAGGCAGTCGTGTTTTAGGGGAGTAGCAATATAGCACTTATATACCGCTTCACCGTGCTTTCCAGCCCTCTCTAAGCGGTTTACCGAGTCAGCCTCTTTCCCCCAACAATCTGGGTCCTCATTTTACCGACCTTGGAAGGAAGGATGGAAGGCTGAGTCAACCTGGGAGCCGGTCAGGATCGAACTGCTGGCACTGGGCAGAGTTAACTTGCAATACTGCATTCTAACCACTGGGAGGGAGGGAAGGAAAGAAGGAAGGAAGGAAGGAAGGAAGGAAGGAAGGAAGGAAGGAAGGAAGGAAGGAAGGAATAGCACTCAGATTTATATCCCGTTTCACAGTGTTTTCCAGCCCTCTCCTAAGTGGTTTACAGAGTCAGCCTCTTGCCCCCAACAATCTGGGTCCTCATTTTACGGACCTCGGAAGGAAGGATGGAAGGCTGAGTCAACCTTGGAGCCGGTCAGGATCGAACTGCTGGCACTGGGCAGAATTAACCTGCAATACTACATTCTAACCACTGGGAGGGAGGGAGCAAGGGAGGAAGGAAGGAAGGAAGGAAGGAAGGAAGGAAGGAAGGAAGGAAGGAAGGAAGGAAGGAAGGAAGGAAGGGCAAATAGTAATAGCAGTAGCACTTAGACTTATATACCGCTTCATCGTGCGTTACAGTCCTCTCTAAGCAGTTTACAGAGTCAGAGCCTCTTGCCCCCAACAATCTGGGTCCTCCTTTTACCGACCTCGGAAGGAAGGACGGAAGGCTGAGTCAACCTTGGAGCCCGTCAGGACCGAACTGCCAGATTGCAGGCAGCCGGCAGTCAGCAGAAGCAGCCTGCAGTACTGCACTCTCACCACTGCGCCACCGCGGCTCGTAGTCGAACTGTTTATGCGCATAACGGAGAAATGAAAAATGCTTTGCATGGGACACAGGTGTTTGTTGGCATCTGAGGTGCCCGAATTCTACGGGCGATGCCACCTCCCACACGATCAGGGAAGCGACGCCAAAGGATACTGAAGCTCCGGTCGGTAATGGCTAAGTGCCAAAGGTTAATCCTGAGATCGTCTGCAGACATGTACGTCTCACAATCGCTGTTGACCGAAATGGAATTCACGTGGTAGGTGTGGCCATTTGCAAATATTTTTCTGGGACTGACCTCAACCATCAAGTCGGTCGGCTTCAGCACAGGCACCTGTAGAAATAAATACAACAGGTTTCTTCTCTGAGGGGGCCTTTGGAAGGGAGCGTACCATACAGGGAGCCCTCGATTTAACAATAATTCGCTTAGTGACCGTTCAAAGTTACAATGACACTGGAAAAATATCCTGACTTACGACCGTTTTTTGGCCTCGCAACCATTGCTGCATGCATCCCCATGGACACGTGATCCAGATGCTTGGCCACTGAGTTCCTCTATATATGACGGTGGGATCCCCTTTTGCGACCTTCTGAGAAGCAAAGTCAAATGGGGAGGGGGGAAAAGCCAGATTCGCTGAACCACCGTGCGACTCGTTTAACGACTGCCGTGATTCCCTTAACAAACATGGCAAGGAAAGTCGTAAAACGGGACGAAACGCACTGAACAGATTTCTCACTCTCCAACGTAAATTCTGGGGTCGGTTATGGTCGTGAAGTCAATGACTTCCTGTACCACGTTTCTGCAAAAACCTACCTCTAACTCCTGAAAAAAGAAATGTGGTCGTATGTGTGAAAAACGATCCTAAGTCACTTTTTTCAGTGAGGTTGTCATTTTTAAGCGGTCACTAAATGAACTGTTGTAAGTCAAGGACGACATGAATTGTCACCGAGTTGTCCTGGATGCATCCTCAGGGTCTTTGTGCAGAAGCTGAGATCTTTCTCCTCCGTGAGGAAAACCGAATCGGAGAAAACAAGAAGAATTTCGTTCTAAGAGGCGCGTGAAAATACAAGTCAGGGTGTGCGATGTTTTGATGGTTCCAAAGAAATAGATAAGAGTGAAATACGTTGAATCTGAGGCCATTTTGTGGGAGTGCCATCCCGTCCCACCATAAATAATGGGTTGAATAACGGAGAGATTTTTGCTAAATTTGGTGCCACCAACTTTTCCAGGGAATACAATTTGCAGTAAGCTATCAGTTTGCTTTTAAATGGATCAGTGATCAGCAGGAGGAGTTAAGTGCACTGTCCGACTTTGATGCTATCTCATAAAAGATGAATTTCCAAACTGCCAATCTTTTAAGGAAATCTTCTCTTTAATTGAGCACAGCAACCGGATCATGACTCGATGCGGACAAGACTGACCTTTTGCCCCCCAATCCCTCCCTTTCCAATCCCCAATTAACTGCTTCTCATTGGCTATCTTCCAAGTCACTCCACTGACTTCTTGTCTCGTCATTTCCCAGGAATGTCTCCCTCCTCCTCATTTCCACGACGACCAGGCTTCAAAGGGATTTAGCAGGCAAAAGTTCAGGGCTTATCTCTCTCCTCTCTATGCCAGCGGTGAGACGCTAACACGCACATTCCCGGCAGGAGTGGCATTCACTTACTTTCCCTTCCGGTTCGCAAATGAGAGCCCGTGCATGTCCATGCGTGCACCCGGCCTTCCACGCATGTGCTTTGCTGGCATGCACACCTTTCGCACATGCACCCAGCCTCAAAAACATGCCTAAACAGGATGGCATAGAGTTGGGGCAGGTGAGCTGGGCCATCCGCAATTTTTGTTACCAGTTCGGGTGAATTGGTCCGAACCGGCTGATTCCCAGGTCCCGGTACAGAGATACATCCATGCAATAAGAATAACAAATAAAATATGTGAATAAATATGTGAATATTTATTCACAGAAGTCCTGCTCAGGTGCTATGGCATTTCTGCTAGAGCAGGGGTCAGCAACCTGCAGCTCCGGAGCCAAATGCAGCTCTTTGGACCCTCTGCTGTGGCTCCCTGTCACGTGATCCCACCACTGTCTGGCCCCGTCCCTCGCCTTCCCCTCCCAGTCACTCCTCGCCTGGCCTGAGAAGGTAAGGGTGACGGTGGAGGATGGAGAAGTGGCCAGGGCAGAGACAGCGAGATACAGAGAGTGGGGGAGAGAGAGAGACATAGAGAGATACAGAGAGGGGGAGAGAGAGAGAGACATAGAGAGATACAGAGAGAGAGGGAGAGAGAGAGATATATAGAGAGAGATACAGAGAGAGGGAGAGAGAGAGAGACATAGAGAGATACAGAGGGAGAGAGAGAGAGAGACAGAGAGATACAGAGAGAGGGAGAGAGATATAGAGAGAGAGATACAGAGAGAGGGAGAGAGAGAGAGACATAGAGAGATACAGAGGGAGAGAGAGAGAGAGACAGAGAGATACAGAGAGAGGGAGAGAGATATATAGAGAGAGATACAGAGAGGGGGAGAGAGAAAGAGACATAGAGAGATAGAGAGAGGGAGAGAGATATATAGAGAGAGATACAGAGAGAGGGGGAGAGAGAAAGATAGAGAGATACAGAGAGAGGGGTAGAGACAGGGACAGAGAGAGATACAGAGAGAGAGGGAGGGAGGGAGGGAGGGGAGAGAGAGAGAGAGAGATGTCAAAAGGATTTTGTGGTTCCCGGTGTTTTTTAACAACTGGTTCTCTGCCCTAATGACCGGCTGGGTAGGCGTGGCTACGGGAGTGTCATGTGACTGGTGGAAGTGAGTGACATCGAGTTGGCCACGCCCACCCAGGTTTTGTGGCTCCCGGTGTTTTCTTTTCTGTGGGAAACGGGTCCAAATGGCTCTTTGAGTGTTTAAGGTTGCTGACCCCTGTGCCCCTGAATTCAAACCATGCAAGAGATATTTTAAATAAGAGAAAGAATTACAATCTAAACAAGGGGGGGGTGGAAAAACGAAAAATTATTCCTAGCACCTACCTGAAGTGAGGTCACCATAGATAATTCCTTGAGTTTTCCTTCCTCATCTTTTAAATTATATCCCTCCGGTTTCTTGTCTCGCTCGGTAATCTTCCACAGTTTAATCGTTTTATCTTCAAACAAACCGAAAAGCCATCGGAGTTATGAAAAAGGGAGACGTTTCATCTTTTAGTCACTTTGTCATCACTTCGTTTTTAACATCGTACAGGGATTTCTCGACTTGACGAGAAAGTTCGTTTATGGACCAAAAGTTACAACGGCACTGGGAAAAGTTGAAACGCCAACTTGCGCTCCATTTTATGACCGTGTTTCACACCAATAACCGATTCAGCCATCCCCGTGGTCATGTCATCAAAGTTTGGACCCTTGGCAACTGACTCATATTTATGACAATTGCATTGTCCCGGGGTTATGTCATCACCTTCACCTTTGGGGAAGCCAGATTCACTTAATGACTGGGTTGCTTACATAACAACGGCATTGATCCACTTAACGTCAGTGGCGAGAAAGGTCGTACGAGGCAACACTCACTTAACAACTGTCTCGCTTAGCAACGGAAATGTTGGCCTCCAATTGCCGTCGAAATCCGAAAACCATCTGTACTTGTGAAACTTATTTTTTTATCTTACAAACATATGGCTTATTTATTTATCGCCTGTTTTAAATAGGGTTGTTTTTTTTTAAAAAAAAATTAGAACCATGTTTCTAGAACAGACGTTCATTAGTCATGGCTAGAAATAAATCTATGGGAAATGTACGGGAACACCTGAAGGATTTGGGAGGGTTTTTTTGCATTTTCAAAGCACTTCTGATTTTATTTTTCATCCTCAAGTATGTATATCCTGCTGTGTCAATAGAATAGATTAGAAGAGAAGAGAAGAGAGAAGAATAGAATAGAATAGAATAGAATAGAATGGAATGGAATAGAATAGAATAGAATAGAATAGAATAGAATAGAATAGAATAGAATAGAATAGAATAGAATAGAATAGAATAGAATAATGGAATGGAATAGAATAGAATAGGAATAGAATAGAAAAAATAGAAAGAATAGAATAGAATAGAATAGAATAGAATAGAATAGAATAGAATAGAATAAAGAATAGAATTAGAGAAGGAATGGAATGAATGGAATGGAATGGAATGGAATGGAATGGAATGGAATGAATAGATAGAATAGAATAGAATAGAATAGAATAGAATAGAATAGAATAGAATAACAGAGTGGGAAGGGACCTTGGAGGTCTTCTAGTCCAACCCCCTGCTTAGGCAGGAAACCCTACACCACTTCAGACAAATGGTTATCCAACATCTTCTTAAAAGATGGAGCATTCCATCTTTCCAACGCATTCCAGCGTTGGAGCATTCACAACTTATGGAGGCAAGTTATTCCACTGGTTAATTGTTCTAACTTCTCCTTAGTTCTAAGTTGCTTCTCTCCTTGATGAGTTTCCACCCGTTGCTCCTTGTCCTGCCTTCAGGTGCTTTGGAGAATAGCTTGAACGCTCCCCCCCCCCCCACTTCGTTTGCAGTATCCTTCCCTTGGAGTGGGGTGGGAATGGAGATTTTGCAATCTCCTTTCCCTGGAGCGGGGAGGGAATGGAGATTTTGCAGTATCCTTCCCCTGACTAGGTGGCTCAGTGGCTAAGACGCTGAGCTTGTCGATCAGAGAGGTCGGCAGTTCGACGGTTCGAATCGAAAGGTCGGCAGTTCGACCGTCAGCAGTTCGACGGTCTCCTGCGTGAGAAGGGGTTTGGACTAGATGACCTCAAAGATCCCTTCCAACTCACTGTTACTGTTACCCAGTATCCTTCCCCTGGAGTGGGGTGGGAATGGAGATTTTGCAGTATCCTTCCCCTGCCACACCCACCAAGCCACGCCCACCAATCCACAACACACCACACCCACCAAGCCACACCCAAAGAACCGGTAGTAAAAAAAAATTTGGATTTCACCACTGCTGCCAGACTCTGATCAGGGTTAACCATACGTTGTTTTTTTTTACCGTTTGTTGACAGTAGAGCGTGGGCTGCATTCTGCTGTGGCAACCATTTTATCTTGTTTATTTTTTCCTCTATTTCCAAGCTCTTCAGATAGTCAAATTCAGGTTCGTGGCTCTGGAAGGTGCTGTAAACATTGTACTCGCCTTGACAGTAAGGCGCATTTTTGCTCTGCAAACAAGAAAATACGAGAATCAGGGTTTATCTCAAGGTTGACTCAGCCTTCCATCCTTCCGAGGTAGGTAAAATGAGGACCCGGCCGAAAGCCCTACTAAGCAGGTATATACAAAAGTAGGAAGGCTATTGCTTAACGCATTGTAAGCCGCCTTGAGTCTCTGGAGAAGGGCGGCATATAAATTGAACCAATAATAATAATAAATCTCTGCCTTTCAGCTGGACCGACTGCCGGGACAGACAGCTGGCATTTCGGATCAAGAAGAACATCTTATAAAGAAAATGCATATAGAATGTTTTATAGATGGCATTTACCACCTGCTAGGTTAGCTAAGTGAAGGGACGTGGTGGCTCAGTGGCTAAGACGCTGAGCTTGTTGATCGAAAGGTTGGCAGCTCAGCGGTTCGAATCCCTAGTGCCGCGTAACGGGGTGAGCTTAGGTCTTATTTTGGGGGGAAATACAGTACTAAATGCCTCCATCTGCTGACGAACTTAACTGGGGCTTATTTTTGGGGGTAGGGCTTATATTACGAGCCGCCTGAAAAAATCATGCTAGGCCTTCTTTTCCAGTTGGGTCTTATTTTTGGGGAAACAGGGTATTTAATGGGGTATTATTATTATTATTATTATTATTATTATTATTATTGAATTTCTATACCGCCCTACTCCCGAAGGACTCAGGGCGGTGCACAACCATGAAATAAAACACATAGATATACAAAATTTAAAATCGAATAAAATGAATTAAATAAATTTGGCTGAATTAATACCCATAATTTAAGATACCCATATTTTAAAATACATTAAAAATTTAAAATTTACACTTAAAAGGGAGAAGATTTAGGCGAGGCCAGCTTGATGAAATAAAAGCGTCTTCAACTCGCGGCGGAAGGTGCGCAGATCCGGAATCCTCCGTATCTCTGGGGGGAGCTCATTCCAGATAGTAGGTGCCCCCACAGAGAAGGCTCTCCTCCTAGAAGCCGACAGCCGACATTGTTTGGCCAACGGCACCTGGAGGAGCCCCTCTCTGTGGGAGCGTACTGGTCGGTGGGAGGCTGTTGATGGTAGAAGGCGGTCCCGTAAGTAACCAGGTCCCAAGCCATGGAGCGCTTTAAAGGTGGTAACCAGAACCTTGAAGCGCACCCGGAAGACCACCGGGAGCCAGTGCAGCTCGCGCAGGAGAGGTGTTACATGGGAGCTCCATGTTGCTCCCATAACAACCCGCGCGGCCGCACTCTGCGCCAGTTGGAGCTTCTGGGTGCACCTCAAGGGGAGCCCCATGTAGAGAGCATTACAATAGTCCAGACGAGAGGTGACGAGGGCATGAGTGACTGTGCGTAACGTAATTCTAGTTTAAGTCTAGTTTAATTCTAGTAAGGGGACACGGTGGCTCAGTGGCTAAGACACTGAGCTTGTCGATCGAAAGGTCGGCAGTTCAGCGGTTCGAATCCCGAGTGCCGCGTAACGGGGGGAGCTCCCGTTCCTTGTCCCAGCTTCTGCCAACTTAGCAGTTCGAAAGCACGTAAAAAAAAAATGTAAGTAGAAAAATAGGGACCACCTTTGGTGGGAAGGGAACAGCTTTCCATGCGTCTTTGGCATTGAGTCATGCTGGCCACATGACCACAGAGACGTCTTTGGACAGCGCTGGCTCGTCAGCTTTGAAACGGAGATGAGCACCGCCCCCTAGTGTCAGGAACGACTAGCACATATGTGCGAGGGGGAACCTTTACCTTTACCTTAGGTTAGCTAAATACAGTCATAAGTGGGAGGAAAGGGATGGTGGGAACGATGAGAAGATTAATAGTAGTGCACACTTAGTAAATAGTTTGACAGTGTAGAGGGAATTATTTGTTTAGCAGAGTGATGGCGTTCGGGAAAAACTGTCCTTGTGTCTAGTAGTTCTGGTGTGCAGTGCTCTATAGCGTCGTTTTGCGGGTAGGAGTTGAAACAGTTTATGTCCAGGATGCGAGGGGTCTGTAGATATTTTTCCCAGCCCTCTTTTTGACTCGTGCAGCATACAGGTCCTCCATGGAAGGCAGGTTGGTAGCCATGGTTTTTTCTGCCGTTCTAATGATCCTTTGAAGTCCGTGTCTGTGTTGTTGGGTTTCAGAGCCAAACCAGACAGTTATGGAGGTGCAGATGACAGATTCAACAATTCCTCTGTAGAACTGGATCAGCAACTCATTGGGCAGCTTGAGCTTTTCTTTATTTCTAGGTCCGCAGATGTGTTAGAAACAGAAGTCTCGCTTCACCGATGTTGGAAGACATGATATATTCTGGATAGGGGGTGGGAGGTGAGGCAGCCTGTCAAGGAAGAATATTAGGGGACAGATACTCATCTGTTCAGGCCGAGTCTGAGAAATGGGGCAGCGACGGGGGTGGATGGGAGGCCGACAGATGGCATCTCTATTTATGACTGTGCGTGGAAGAAAGTGTCCAAACCGACACGCACGCCTTGAGACTTTCCATTGTGTACCTTGCTAGCGTGAAGGTTCCCCCAGTGAACGCACACTAAGCACTGCAATGCAGCTTTTCAGCTCCGTCGAACGCATAACTTCCGGTTGGCATGAGCACAGAAACCGAGTCGTCTTACCTGCCTGACCTTGCCCACCCCCCCTCCCAGCCGATCGTGCACCTTCCTCTACCTCCCCTCTAAGCGGTGTCGTCTTGCTGATAAACACACTCAAGGACAGCCTGGATGTTTTGATTCGGAAATGGAATTCCCTTATGTAGACTCAGATCAGGCCGAGGATACAGTTTTATAGAGGGATAGTCAAATCTGTCCATTTGTACCTCTTGAATTGTCTGGTTTGGCCCAGCCACCTAACAGGAGAGGTACAGACTTCAACTGATAGTTAGGACGGCAGAAAAAACAATGGGAACCAGTCTGCCTTCCATCCAATGAGGATCTATATATTGTGCAGGCTGAGAAAATATCTACAGACCCCTCACATCCTGGACATCAACCGTTTCGACTTCTCCCTTCTGGACGCTGCTACAAGGCATTGCACGCCAAAACAACTAGACACAAATATATGTCTTTTTTCCCCCATGTCCATCCCTCTGCTAAACACCTAATTCCCGACAGCACTGTCTTAGGCCTCAAGATAATTATCCATGTAGTAGTGCTGTATTGCTCTTATCCTTCTCATCTTTCTCGTCTTGTCATCTTTCCTACTATCTTCTCCTGTGAGTATCTCATGAATTATCACCTGTTGCTTGTATCTGATGATTAATGATTGCAGCTATGATTTATGATCTATCACCTATCACCTTGTTGTTTGTGTGTACACTGTGAGCTTATGCACCGAAAACAAATTCCTTGTGTGTCCAATCAACACTTGGCCAATAGAGATTTCTCTTCTCTTCTCTGTTCTCTCCTCTCCTCTCCTCTCCTCTCTTCTGTTCTCACTCCATTCATTCCCTTCCCTTCCTTCTCTTCTCTTCTCTTCTTTCCTCTCCTCTTCTCTTCTCTTCTCTTCTCTTCTCTTCTCTCCTCTCCTCTCCTCTCCTCTCCTCTCCTCTCCTCTCCTCACTCCATTCATTCCCTTCCCTTCCTTCTCTTCTCTTCTCTTCTCTTCTCTTCTCTTCTCTTCTCTTCTCTTCTCTTCTCTTCTCTCCTCTTCTCTCCTCTTCTGTTCTCATTCCATTCATTCCCTTCCCTTCCCTTCCCTTCTCTTCTCTTCTCTTCTCTTCTCTTCTCTTCTCTTCTCTTCTCTTCTCTTCTCTACTCTTCTCTTCTCTCCTCTCCTCTCCTCTCCTCCTCTTCTTTCTCCATTCATTCCCTTCCCTTCCTTCTCTTCTCTTCTCTTCTCTTCTCTTCTCTCCTCTCCTCTCCTCTTCTCACTCCATTCATTCCCTTCCCTTCCTTCTCTTCTCTTCTGTTCTCTTCTCTTCTCTTCTCTTCTCTTCTCTTCTCTTCCTCTCCTTTCCTCTCCTCTCCTCTCCACTCCACTACTCTACTCTATCCTACTCTACTCTACCCTACCCTACTCTATTATCTTTCAGAAAACCATCAGTCACTCTCCCTGTTCTTCTGCACAATAGAGTAAGATAAAATCCATGCTGAAAAAACAAACAGAGGGTTGAATAAAGAGCCCCTCCTGGATGGGACCAAAATTCTGCTCAGTGGATCCCTCCAGGCTTCTCTGTAGATGGAAGGAAGCAGTCACACTGAACATTATCTGCAAGCCACCAAGTATCTCCAATCTACTGGCTTTCATGTGTTGCTCCAAGAACACCAAGATCTTCTAAAGAAGAATATGTGTAGCTCTGGCTGACATGAGGGGTCCCTGGTGCTCTCTCAGTTTGGTGGTTCTCTTGCAGATGTCTCACGACCCAACTAGGTAACATTATCAGTGCTAGAAGGGGGTGGAGGAGGTGGGGGGAGGAGGAGGAGAGGAGGGTGACGACCACTGTGGGGTCCTTGATGGTGTCTGAGCTTGGCGGTTCTCTTGGAGAAGTTTCATGACCCAAATTAAGAACGTCATCAGTAGCAACCAAGCTCGGAGAGCACTAAGGACCTCTGGCCAAGATCTTGGCTTCAAATCCGCATTAATGAATCAGAACCTGGTCCCTTCCCCCACCCCACCCCCCGGACTTGATGTGTCAAGATGCATTTATCCTAGTGCTGACATAAGAAAGAGAACGCAAGTGTCTGCAATGGGACGGTTGCCTTTCACCTACTTATTTTAGCTGGAGATAATGTCCCCAAGGAGATGGATGGGAGGGGGGAAATTCTTTGAATTGGAGCAGTAGATTAGGGGTGAATGATTGGGAAGATGGCCAATGAATGCAGAGGAGTGTGGGAAGGAAGAGGAGGGATTTTGGGTCAGCACGTCAGTCCTGGCTGCATGGAGTCAGTGTAAAAGTTGCCGTGCTAAATAAAATGGAAGTTTGTTTCAAAAAAGACTTTGTTTGAGACGCAATTTATTTGAAGACGGCCTGAAAACCTGACACCCCCTCCGCCTCTGCCTTTCTAGAGGTTATTCAAACGCTCCCTGGCGTAAGTCATTCTTCTCCTGCCTTCTGTGGGGGAGCCGTTCCTCGAACTCCGGGAGCGTTGCATAAGCTCTTCTTACAAATGCAAGATCCTTTCACTGCAGGATCCGTGCCAATTCCTGCCCACCCCAGCTCGCTTCTCCTTCGATGAAAAAGGGCCGCGCAGCACAATCACAGCCAAACCATTCTTTGCGAGCTTTTCAAAAGGAAATCGGTCAAGGGACGTATTTTTTTCCCTGTACAGGATCGGCAACAAACACAACAAAAGTCATCCGCTGTGAAAAACAAAACTCCCACCGAGAACAAGGAAACAAACTCTTGGCGCTTGGGGAGAGAAGAAGGCGCAGGGAAAGGTTTTGGGGTAACCTAGAATTTGGGCACGGAGAGCTACTCGTAGTTCGACGCTTCCAGGGACAAGAGTTCCTCTGACATTATCTGGAGATGTTTAAAGGGTGTGGGGGGAAGACATACCTCGGGCTCCCTCTGGAATATCACAACACGGCCTCCTTTGTCCCCTGTGGCTAATAATTCCCCCGTCTGGTTGAATTCAATAGTTGAAATAATATCAGCTACGGAAGAAAGGAAACAAAAGAGAGAGAGAGAGAGAGCAAATTACACTGATGCCGCCGGTGTCAATCAGAAATATTCTGCGCATTTGATAAGGCAATGGTCAGATATAGCAATAGCACTTAGACTTATATACCGCTTCACAGGGCTTTGCAGCCCTCTCTAAGCGCTTTACAGAGTCAGCTTCTTGCCCCCCAACAATCTGGGTCATCATTTTACCGACTTTGGAAGGATGGAAGGCTGAGTCAACCTCGAGCTGGTCAAGATCGAACTGCTGGCAGTTGGCAGAGTCAGCCTGCAATAATGCATTCTAACACCTGCGCACCATGGATGGATGGATGGAAGGAAGGAAGGAAGGAAGGAAGGAAGGAAGGATAATGGTAGGGAAGGAAGGAAGGAAGGAAGGAAGGAAGGAGGGAGGGAGGGAGGGAGGGAGGACTAGCAATAGCATTTAGACTTACATACCGCTTCACGGTGCTTTACTGTAAACTGTTTACAGAGTCAGCATATTTTCTGCAACAATCTACGTCCTCATTTTACCGACCTGAGAAGGACGGAAGACTGAGTCAACCTTGAGCTGGTCAGGATCGAACTGCTGGCAGTCGGTATAGTCAGGCTGCAATACTGCATTCTAACCACTGGGCACCATGGAGGGAGGGAGGGAGGGAGGAAGGGAGAGAGGGAGGGAGGGAAGGAAGGAAGGAAGGAAGGAAGGAAGGGAGGGAGGGAGGGAAGGAAGGAAGGAAGGAAGGAAGGAAGGAAGGAAGGAAGGAAGGAAGGAAGGGACTAGCAATAGCACTTAGACTTATATACCGCTTCATTGTGCTTTACTCTAAGCGGTTTACAGAGTTAGCCTCTTGCTCCCAACAATCTGGCTCCTTGTTTTACCGGCCTCAGAAGGATGGAAGGCTGAGTCAACCTTGAGCCGGTCAGGATCGAACTGCTGAACTGCTTAGCAGTCGGCAGTCAGCAGGATTACCCTGCAGTACTACATTCTAACCACCACTGCGCCACCACGGCTCAAGAGACTCCACAAAGCGGAACATTAGGCGACTGACTTTCCTTCTTCTCGTCTTCTCTGGAGTAAATGCAAGGAGGGACCGCGGTGGGGCCTTCTCCCAGGAGGAAGAACCACAAGAGGGCCACCATTTTGAAAGCTCTGGCTCAGAACTCCAGCGCTCCTAATGTGGTTGCGTTGTAGATGCCAGCCAGTTCAGTCCAAAACCCAGCTGAGCCTTTGAGATTCCACTCCATAAGAAATTGCGATGGACGTGTTCAAAACAAGCGCAGGTTGCATCGGATACTCCATCCATCCCAGAGGTGAAATCTACTTACCTTCCCTACCATTCGGAAGTGCACGCGCCGACCCTCTGAGTATGCGCAAATCCTTCTGCACATGCACAGGGGGTAAAAAAACAGGCTACTTCCTGGTTTTAACCAGGACCGGGCGGGTGGGCAGAGCCTCGAGCTGCCATTGCTACCAGTTCTCCGAACCACTGGCCGTCATCGCTACCGGTTCAGTCAAACCGGGCTGAACCAGGAGCATTTCACCCCTGATCCATCCCTTTGATGAGTTTGACCTCTGCCTAGGAGAGAAAGTCCCACATGAAAGAATCCACGAAGGGGAGCAGGTGAAGCTTATCTTGAAGGTATATGGGAGTCCCCAGAGGTGTCTCACCTGGATACCTCCAATACCTTTCTTGGGGAGAGTTCAGGAGCTGAGAGTAGCTTGGCTACTGAGAGTAGCTGGCCCCTGGCTTAGACCACAAGAATTTAGTCCCAACGCCAGCAATGTAGGGTGGGTATCCCTCACGGATACGCCTCTTCCCAAAATGTTTGGATAGAGTCGTCTGGTGCTTTCTTCAGTAGAAATTTCACACCCTTGGAATGAATTCAATAATAAAAAAAAAATGAAAAAGAGCTATAGTAGTCCTCGACTTACGACCACAACTGAGCCCAAAACTTCTGTTGTTGTGTGAATTTTTATTTTATTTATTTTATTTGATTTCAAATTTATCTACCGCACCTTCTCCCAAGGGACTCAGGGCGGTGAATTTTGCCCCGTTTTACAATTTTTCTTGCCCCATTTGTTAAGTGAATCACTGCAGTCGTTCAATTGGTAACAAGGTCGCTAAGTGAGTCAGGCTTCTCCCTTGACTTTGTCAGAAGGTCGCAAAAGGGGATTAGGTGACCTCAGGACACTGCGGTCCGTCATAAGTGTGAGTCAAAAGGTAGGTACGTCTTATAGCCCTGAGCGTCTTATACTCCGAAAAATACGATATGAGTTGTATCACTCACTACTCTTGTTAAATAATAAGCAATAGTAGTAAGCCTATTGTGACCAGATGTTTAAATCGATGTTTGCATTGCAAAATTTTCTCCGATCTTCTGATTTTTTTTAACAAAACAAAGCAAAACAAAAACACCAGGTTTCAATGAGAATAATTATAATTATAACAGATATTAAGCTGCTTTCATAACCATTTTCCTGAACTGCTAACAAAATCAGAGGTAATCCCTCACACACACAACTTCCCCAATAGGACTAATAGTAGTGGTGAAATCCACATTTTTTTTACTACCGGTTCTGTGGGCGTGGCTTGGTGGGCATGGTGTGGTTTGGTGGGCGTGGCAGGGGAAGGATACTGCAAAATCCCCATTCCTTCCCCACTCCTGGGGAAGGATACTGCAAAATTTTCCATTCCCACCCCACTCCAGGGGAAGGATACTGCAAAATCCCCATTCCTTCCCCACTCCTGGGGAAGGATACTGCAAAATCTCCATTCCCACCCCACCAGGGGAAGGATACTGCAAAATCCCCATTCCTTCCCCACTCCTGGGGGAAGGATATTGCAAAATCTCCATTCCCACCCCATTCTGCGGCCAGCCAGAGGTGGTATTTGCCGGTTCTCTGAATTACTCAAAATTTCTGCTACCGGCTCTCCAGAACCTGTCAGAAGCTGCTGGATTTCACCCCTGGCTAATAGTTAGTAATTTAGAACTTAATAGTTCTAAGCAATTTCCATTTTTCTAAGCTAACACAACCATTTTTAATATTTGAGTGCTTGAAAGGAAATTCAATTTTTATTTTTATTTTGTTTCAAACTAAACTATTTTCCTTCCAAATTGTAAGAAACGTTCATGTGAGAATACAGTCCAGGATAACGTGCAGTTTCTCAATGCATTTCCACGTTACCTTTGAGGCTTTCCCAAATTTTTATCTCTACACCAGTATTTCTCCATTTTAAGATGTTGGACTTCAACTCCCAGAATTCCCCAGCCATCATGGAGATGGCTGCAAAGGTGGCTGGGGAATTTTGGGAGTTGAAGTCCATCCACACATTATAAAGTTGCTAAATTAGATAAGCACTGCTCTAGGCCTTATTTATTTATTTATTTATTTATTTATTTATTTATTTATTTATTTATTTATTTATTTATCTATTTATCGATTTATTTATTTATTTATTTATTTATTTATTTATTTATCTGTCTATCTATTGATTTATTTATTTATTTATTTTGTCGCATTTCTATGCCGCCCAACTCCCAAGGGACTCAGGGCAGCTTACAACAGATAAAAGAACTGGGATATGATGAGATTCCAGCCCACTTAATAAATTACTATGAGGAAAATCTTGCGTTAAGTCTGAATGAGAAGACTTTTAATGCCGAGAAAATTCTCCTCAGGACAAATTTGACATTTGGTACAAATATAACTGGGCTATCGTTGGAAAACAACAGCATTGTATTTTGAAGTCCAGAAGTGCAGAAATACATATCTATGGAATTGAAAACAGAATTAAGTGAGGGACATTTGTAGAAACAACTTACCATGGCCATCTCGCCACGGCTAATTCGCCGTGGGCAACTTGCCACGGGCAACTTGCCACAAAACACTTTGCCACGGCCAACTAACCATACGACAAGTCGCCCGAGGACAATTCAACACTTCGATTTCATTATTTAAAATCATTAAAACTTTATTTTATTTTGTGCCATTCACATTTGTCCCTCCGTTAGCATCTTTTTTTTAAATAATTCTATTCCACCATTTCTTCGACATTAGCGTAACTCTTGTTCTGCAGCGAGTTGGCTGTGACGAGTTGTCCTAGGAAACCCTTGAGAAATGTGTCTGGCCTTCCTCAAATGCCCATTTGTGCTTTCTCCATCTTGGTTGCTCAGCAAGGGGAGGATGGGACTGTATGACCTCTGGCATGCCCTCAAGAGAATGGGGGAGGGGAGGGTCCTAGAACAGACTCCCTTCGACATGAGAGAGACAACAATCAGATAGACTAGAACAGGGGTCAGCAACCAAGGGCTCTGGAGCCGCATGTGGCTCTTTCATCCCTCTGCTGCGGCTCCCTGTCACTAGTCGGCTCCACAATTGATAGAGCTTTCAGTTAGGACAGGTAGAGAGAAAAGGACGCCGTGCTAGGAGGAGTCTCTATGGTGGGGGAACTGGGCTTCCAGTCGGCTCCAGAATTGAAGGGGGGGCTTCCGGTTAGGACCTTTGTGGCTCTTTGACTGTTTAAGGTTGCCGACCCCTGGATTAGAATAACAGAGTTTGAAGGGACCTTGGAGGTCTTCTAGTCCAACCCTCTGTTCAGGCAGGAAACCCTATACTATTTCAGATACATGGTGGTCCAGTCTCTTCGTAAAAACCTCCAGTGTTTTTTTTTTTTTTTAATTTGATTTATATGCCGCCCTTCTCCGAAGACTCAGGGCGGCTTACAATGTGCTCAGCAATAGCCTTCATCCTTTTGTATATTTATACAAAGTCAGTTTATTGCCCCCACAAACTGGGTCCTCATTTCACCTACCTTAGAAAGGATGGAAGGCTGAGTCAACCTTGAGCCTTGGCGAGATTCGAACCCTGCAGTAATTGCAGGCAGCTGGTCTTAATAAGCTTAATAACAGGGTGCCTTAAACCCCTGTACCACCAAGGCAGTGTTAATACATTTATGATGATACGTGTGAAATCAGTAAAATAGAAAAGAAACTGAAAAGAAAGGAAATAGAAATAGAAAATCGGGGTTGCTCGGATACCATTTTGGAAAATATTGACTTGAAAATGAATATAACAATGGAGAGAGAATGGAAAGAGGAGTAGAGGGATAGAAAGGAGGGGAGAAGAGAGGAAGGAGAGAGAAGGACAGAAGAAAGGGGAAAGGAGAGGAAGAAAGGGAGGGGAAATAAGAGTAGGAGAGAAGGTTAGAAAGGGAGGTGTGGGGGAAAGGAGGGAGAGAAAGAGAAGGAGAGGAGGAAAGAAGAAAGTAGAAGAGGATAGAAGAAGGGAGGGAAGGGAAAGAGAGGAGGAGGAGAAGAAGGATTGTTGTAAAATAAGGGAGATGGAATGGTAGAAGAGCAATCCCGAGCATACTTAAATTTTTTAGGATGAAGAATGAACTACTATGAAAGTTTAAAAAGAATGTGTATGATTAACAATGGATAAGAGACTGTACATCTAAGACATGTTTATGAGAAATAAAAATAAAAAACTTTTTCAAAAAAAAAACAAAACCCTCCAGTGTTGGAGCATTCACAACTTCTGGAGGGAAGTAGTTCCTCTGATTAATTATTCTCAAAGTTAAGAAATTTCTCCTTCGTTCTAGGTTGCTTCTCTCCTTGATGAGTTTCCGTCCGTTGCTTCCTGAACCTGCCTTTAGGCACTTTGGAGAATAGATTGATCCTCCCTCCTCTTTGTGGCAACAACACAATTGTGGGTTTCAAAAAATTTTACTACCAGTTCTGTGGGCGTGGCTTGGTGGGCGTGGTGTGGCTTGGTGGGCGTGGCAGGGAAAGGATACTGTAAAATCTCTATTCCCACCCCACTCCAGGGGAAGGATACTGTAAAATCTCCATTCCCTCTCCAATCCAGGGGAAGGATACTATAAAATCCCCATTTCCTCCCGATCAGCTGGGACTCGGGAGGCAGAGAATAGATGGGGGCGGGGCCAGTCAGAATTTTTACTACCGGTTCTCCGAACTACTCAAAATTTCCGCTACCGGTTCTCCAGAACTGGTCAGAACCTGCTGAAACCCACCTCTGCAACAACACCTGAGATATTGGAAGACTGGACGTACCCAATTCCAGCCACCGTTCTTGATACGTTTCAGCCTCCGGTTCCCCCTAATTCTCTTTCCTGCGGTCCCTCCGCCCAGCGGCTGGACTCCTTCCCACTCACCTCCAGAAGTGCTCTCTTCAGCAGGGGGTGGAGATTCATTGGCATGGCAGTGGAAGGAAGCTCGCATGGCTGCCACCGCCCATGCTATGCCACTCCTGTGGAGAAAGAGAGGACCTCAATTTCCAGGGCTCCAAATCAGGACCTTTCATGGTCCGGGCACATCAAATGGCGCAACACCCCTCCAACCTTGGAAATGCCGATCTCCTTTCCTGGTAGAAAGGATGAGGAAAAGCTACTTCACCTACAAGGTTCCAGGTAGTGGTTTCCCTAAAAAGCACGAAGCAGAGTCTTGGTCCCGGCAAAACCCCGGGACTCCCCAGCCTCCTCCCCAGCCTCCTCACTGTCCAACTCCGCTGCCAGCTCTGCAGGCTACTGGCGGACCACAACAGCTCCCTTAAAAAGCCGGAAGCAGAGTCTTGGTCCCGGCAAAACCCCTTTTATTTACACGACTGTGAATTCCTTCCATTCACAGTCAGCAAGACCTGTCCAAGCAGTCTTTCAGAGGAATATTTATCAACACAGACCTTATCTCGCTTGGAAAGCTGCCCTGTAACTAGTTGCCAAACGCAGTGCAAGGCAAGACTTGGCACAGAGTCTCTTAGAGTTACAGACAGATCTTTCCACTCTTGAAACAACCAAATGAACGAATTGTTTCCTGAAAAAGCCCACTCCCCTTTCATTCTTTTGTTTTCTATGGGAGGGGCCAATCGTCTCCAATGTGTGGGCTTTACTCCCAAGTCGACCCTGCTTTCTGAGTTGTTCTTGTCTTCGGGCAGCTCTGTGCATGCACACACTGGGAACAGGCTCCAGCTGTTCCTCTGCCTCACTGCTGTCTAGCTCTCTCTCTGCCTCCGACGCAGAGCTCTCATCCGAGCTTTCCCCAGCCCCCAGGACTCGCCCATGTTCCTCCCCAACCTCCTCACTCTCCAACTCTGCTGCCAGCTCCGCTGGCCGCCTGTGGGCCACAACTAGGACCAAATGGCCGTATCTCTCTGTATCCACTGTGTAGTGTTGGGAGAAGGAGAGGAAAAGAGGGAAGGGCCATTTTCTACCCATGATGCGTTTCCATGATGTGAGCCACAATGACTCTCAGAGAGAGTACTAATGACCAGATGACTGCAAGGAATAGAAATCCTTCCATTCCTCACCATTCATTCAGAACTTGAAGAAGCTTCTTGGATGAGAAGCGAAAAGTCTTCAAGGGAAAAAAAAAGTCCAGTTGCCTTTTGAAAAAGCACCTGTGGCGTTACCTCAAAAAATAAGGAACATATATGCATTTTCACCGCTACTTTCAGGCTTCTTACCGCAAGGAAACGAGTGAGTACTTTATGGTCACGGTAGTAATAATTCAGAAATAAAACTGTGGAACAGTTTTTCAACAAAAGTTGAAAGAGAGCTGAGATTTTATGAGTGTTACTCTTTGGTTTTTATTCATTCACACCCCCCCCAGAGATTCACCAGGATTTTAAATGATTATAATACTATTAATCTGAATCAGAAAATTAGAAATGTTAAACTGTGCCAATCATGCGACAAAGGAATCTATGTCAAATGTATGACCACTTTTAGAATTATCCACTGGAACCTTAAAACAAATATGATGTACATTTGACATTCCGACGAATGGAATAATCTGAAAAATGTATCAAAGTATTCAACAATGTCCACACATTTCGGTACAAATTAGTCATTACCAATAAAAAACAAAAATACCATTGGTATGTAATAGTAATATATGTCCTTCTCCACCCACTCTGATGTTCAAAATATCCTTCCTTGTCCAATAAACCCGGCCAAATAATTCCAACGTTATTAAACAGTCCTAGGCTGCATTAACAGAGGGATAAAATCAAAATCATGTGACGTGTTAATACCACTTTATAAGGCCTTGGTAAGGCCACACTTGGAATCCAGCATCCAGTTTTGGTCACCACAATGTAAAAAAAGATGTGGAGACTCTAGAAAGAGTGCAGAGAAGAGCAACAAAGAGGATTAGGGGACTGGAGGCTAAAACGTATGAAGAACTGTTGCAGGAACTGGGTATGTCTGGTTTAATGAAAAGAAGGACTAGGAGTGACATGATAGCAGTGTTCCAATATCTCAGATGTTGCCATAAAGAGGAGGGAGTCAAACTATTCTCCAAAGCACCTGAAGGCAGGACAAGGAGCAACCTAGAACTAAGGAGAAATTTCCAGACCATGAGAACAATTAATCAGTGGAACAACTTGCCTCTAGAAGTTCTGGATGCTTCCAACACTGCAAGTTTTTAAGAAGAGATCGGGCAACCATATGTCTGAAATGGTATAGGATTTCCTGCCTGAGCAGAGAGTTGGACTAGAAGACCTCCAAAGTCCCTTCCAACTCTTATTATTCTGTTAAAATTCTGTTAAACAGGGGGAGAGAAAAAAATGAGGACGTCCATGGGTCTGATGCAGCATTCGAATTGGTGAGGAGAAAATTCCATCTGTGTAATAAATCACCTTAACTAACTAAATTGGGAGTATCGTATTTTAATCCAATAACAAAAATTTTAAGAGAGAACTGATTTTATTTATTTATTTATTTATTTATTTATTTGCTTCCCTCCCCTTTCATGGCGTTGATGTTTCATCTTTTAATCCAATAACAAAGTTTTTAAGAGAGAACTGATTTTATTCATTCATTCATTCATTCATTCATTTGCTTCCCCCCCTTTCATGGCATTGATGTTTCATCTTTTAATCCAATAGCAAAATTTTTAAGAGAGAACCTGATTTTATTTATTTATTTATTTATTCATTCATTTATTTGCTTTCCCTCCCTTTCATGGCGTTGATGTTTCATCTTTTAATCCAATAACAAAATTTTAAAGAGAGAACTGATTTTATTCATTCATTCATTTATTTATTTGCTTTCCCCCCCCTTTCTTTCATGGCGTTGATGTTTCATCTTTTAATCCAATAACAAAATTTTTAAAGAGAGAACTGATTTTATTCATTCATTCATTCATTCATTCATTCATTCATTCATTTATTTATTTGCTTTCCCCCCACTTTCATGGCGTTGATGTTTCATCTTTTAATCCAATAGCAAAATTTTTAGAGAGAACTGATTTATTTATTTATTTATTTATTTATTTATTTATTCATTCATTCATTCATTCATTCATTCATTTTATTTGCTTTCCCCCCCTTTCATGGCGTTGATGTTTCATCTTTTAATCCAATAACAAAATTTTAAAGAGAGCTGATTTTATTCATTCATTCATTCATTCATTCATTCATTCATTCATTCATTTATTTGCTTTCCGCCCCTTCATGGCGTTGATGTTTCAACTTTTAATCCAATAGCAAAAATTTTAAGAGAGAACTGATTTTATTTATTTATTTATTTATTCATTCATTCATTTGCTCCCCCCCTCCCGTTTCATGGCGTTGAAGTTTCATCTTATCCAAGCCTTTGCTTTAACGGGTCCCTTATTTGCATATCTTTATTTACTTGGTAAATGTCTGGATTATAGCAAAACATGAACTACTAATCAGGGGTGAAATCTATTTACCTTCCCTACCAGTTCGGAAGAGCACTCACCGTGAGTGTGTGCTCGCTCCGCTCGAGCATGCACATCCCATGCGCGCATGGATCCTCTGCGCATGCACAAACCCTTCTGCGCATACGCAGAGGGTAAAAAACAGGTTACTTCCTGTTTAAAACCAGGAAGTAACAACGACCGGGCGGGTGGGAGGAGCCTCGTGCCGTCATCGCTACCGGTTCTCCGAACCATCCTCCGCCATCACTACCGGTTCAGCTGAACTGGTCCGAACCGGTAGCATTTCACCCCTGCTACTAATGCCTTGCTATTAAAGGTGCCTTTTAGATTTTCCAGCCCAAATAAGAAAGAAGGAAAAAAACAAAAAGGGTGGGGAATAAACTCCGGTCTGATGAGCCTCCGAAAGCAACCGAAAATTGAGGATTTAAAGGTACTCAAGAAATACATTAGGCTAAGTGAGGATGAGTCACTTTCTTTAAGTAGCCAGTCTGAACCTTTTTAATGATGTGAAATCTCTGAAGATAATAGGCCTCGTTTCAGCCCTCAACATGGATGCCCCTTTAACTAAGCATCAAGCAATAATTTAACCAATCAGAACGGAGCTGGAAGGGGCCTTGGAGGTCTTCTAGTCCAGCCCCCTGCTTGAGCAGGAGACCCTAAACCTGTGATGGCGAACCTATGGCATATCAGTGGGCACGCAAGTGTTGCCCTAGCTCAGCGCTGGCCAGCTGATTTTCGGGCCTTCCGCAGCCACCGGAAGTCGGGAAACAGGCTATTTCCAGCCTCTGGAGGGCCTCAAGGGGGGTGGGGAAGGCCGTTTTCGCCCTCCCCAGGCTCCTAGAAAGGCTCTGGAGCTTCGGGAGGGCGAAAAACAGGCCTTCCAGTCCCATCGGAAGTCGGCAAATGGGCTGTTTCTGGCCTCCAGGGGGATGGGGAAGGCCGTTTTCGCCCTCCCCAGGCTCCTAGAAAGGCTCTGGAGCCTCGGGAGGGCGAAAAACGGGCCTTCCAGTCCCAACGGAAGTCGGCAAATGGGCTGTTTCCGGCCTCCAGGGGGATGGGGAAGGCTGTTTTTGCCCTCCCCAGGCTCCAAGAAAGCATCTGGAGCCTGGGGAAGGCAAAAAACGGGCCTACTGTGCCCACTGTGCTATCGCGTGCCAAAAGCGGGGGGAGTGCCGGGGTGTCGCGCGTGCATGCATGGGGGGGTGGGGCACACTGAATTATGGGTGTGGGCATGCGTGGACGCGACCCCCCTGTGCTCCCCCCCTGCTTTTGGCACACGACAGCAAAAAGGTTAGCCATCACTGCCCTAAACCATTTCAATCAATCAATCATTCAATCAATCAATGAATCAGAATAGAGCTGGAAAGGACCTTGGAGGTCTTCTAGTCCAACCCCCTGCTGAAGTAGGAAACCTTATACCATTCCAGACAAATGGCTCTCCAGTCTCTTCTTAAAAACCTCCAGGGATGAAGCACCCACAACTTCTGAAGGCAACTTCTGTTCCACTGGCTAATTGTCCTCCCTGTTAGGAAGTTTCCCCTTAATTCCAGGTTGCTTCTCTCCTTGATT